TATATATATATATATATATATATATATATATATATATATATATATATATATATATATATATTATCGGTTTTTCTATTGCATAAAAAATCTGTTTCTCGAATCATAATAAATAAATCAAAATCGCTGTTCGTAAAGTTCTCTATTTGTTCGTGAAGTTTTATTACAATCGGTTTAGCTATTCCGAAGATTAGCTCGGACAGACAAACATACATTTTTTAAATTGCTATTCATGTCTTAAAGGCATGCAAATAATAATAAATATTGAAATATAGTCTCTATATAAAAGGTGTAACGACCGTTCTCGATATTCCAACAACAAATGTTACAAAAAATGTGAACTATTAATATACGCTTTTTTTAATAAAACTTAATTAACTAACAAAATTATATTCAAGTTTCATTCAATAAAATTCAAGCAAGAAAATGTTAGAAATAAAAAATTTGTTACAATTTTTATTTCCAATATTTTCTTGCTTATTATCTATAAAATAGGAGCGAAACATCTCATCCACCAAAATATCGTTGTACAGTGTGTTCCCTGTAAATGTGCTCGTAAAACTATGTATTGAACATCCCTGCAACTTATAAAGCAAATAAATTAAGCTATATTCACCACAAACTGAAGTCCACTCATCCTGAATCCTATCAACATTCCAGTCCCATCTTTTACAATTCTTTTTTAAAAACAGTGCAGGTGATCGTCCATATGAATCAAAATATTGACCGATGCCATTCGTATCGATATATAAATCCTTTACCACCGAGCACGTGGTAAATCAGCACTTAAAATTGCAATTACCAATTTCATTGGTGCCGGCGGGGATCGAACCCGGTTTGCTCGCGTACTGTGAAATTTACAGCGAGCGCTAACTATTTGAGCTACCACAGCTCGTAACAACTTTTTGCAGAAATGGGGTCCTACTACTTACTTTATACATAAACTAAAAGAAAACAACTTTTTAAGTTTATGTATAAAGTAAGTAGTAGGACCCCATTTCTGCCTGTGAGTTCGTCTGAGTAGATATTATCCTCTTACCCCGCACTACTATGTAGTCATACAGTCTGTGAGGCATTACATATCAGTCTGTAGAGGTGTCACCGAAAAAGCCTTCTTTGTTTGAAGTTAGCTGCAAGTGTCTATGGGCTGCAGTAGCCGCTTAGCATCATCAGGTGGAATATAATTTTGTTAGTTAATTAAGTTTTATTAAAAAAAGTGTATATTAATAGTTCACATTTTTTGTAACATTTATTGTTGGAATATCGAGAACGGTCGGAATTACACCTTTAAAAAAATATCAAACTTACAAATATTTGCGATGTAATTAGATTCATATAAGTAACCTAGTTTTATGTATTCTTAGTTCTTTTCAATAAACGTACGTATATCTGGGTAGATGTAGTTTCCTTTAACCTACCAATATCGCCAACATCAATTCTTTTCCTAGCTTTATGAAGCAATTATAGAAAAGATGCGTTGTTTTGTTATAAAAATTCAAATAAATTTAATATGCATTATAAAAATTTGCCAAATATGTAATGTAAGAAGCGGAAAAAATAATAGCAAGAAAAGGCTATTCATGGTGAAATTTTCCTTATTATGATGAAAGGTAGGTGGTAATTTCTACTTTAATTGTAATATGATATTAATATGATATAAAAACAAAAATATAAAACCTAAAATAACATTAAACAATATAATATTATTTGTGTGTATGTAACTATGTGAAACATTTTAAAATTAAATAAAACAAATTGTACTAATATATTATTTTTAAACTTTTTTATAAACCCCCTATTTAATCTTATTCAAAACACTGTTCGAGTTTTCGCAGTGAAACTGACAGGTACTTTATGATTTAACAAGCTTATCTCGCATTCTTTCGTGTTACGACTAGCCCTACATCGATGACTCCTACAAATCATCATATAAGAATGCAATTTAATATTTACAAATCACTATAATTGATCATTCCTATGTTAACTATTCAATAGATTGTTAATGTAAAAAAACTAATAGCAGTATTATCATAGATACACTAGATATATAACAACATCTGAAAAGTATTCATCCCAGTTTAGAAAATAATGTTTATGCTGCTAATAGACTGCCCATATATACCCACGTACCAACGTATATAATACGCAATTTGGATACAGATGATAAACCAGGCTCACATTGGATAGCTTTATATATCGATACGAATGGCATCGGTCAATATTTTGATTCATATGGACGATCACCTGCACGATATCATCTAGAGTTTTTAAAAAAGAATTGTAAAAGATGGGACTGGAATGTTGATAGGATTCAGAATGAGTGGACTTCAGTTTGTGGTGAATATCGCTTAATTTATTTGCTATATAAGTTTCAGAGATGTTCAATGCATAGTTTTACGAACATATTTACAGGGAACACACTGTACAATGATATTTTATGATGATGATTAGATGATTAGATGTTTCGCTCATATTTTATAGATAATAAGCAAGAAAATGTTGGAAATAAAAATTGTAACAAAATTAAGGAATGTGTTTTATTCGTGATTCAAAATAGCGTGGGAGTTACTAACAAAGAAGTATAATACAATAAATCTGTTAAGCAGGGTAACGAGTAATAGATAAAAGTGCAATCACGATGTTCAATGAACAATAGATAACAGAAACCCAATGGAACGCTAATGAGGGTGCAGTCCCAACGGATACCAATTAGATATTAGTAAATTGATCTGCACATCTCCGGAACCGCGCATCCTACGCAAAAGAGGACCGCAGATTCGTGATCAGAGCATGCCAAAACCTTTATTTTTTTCGAGTCAGAAATTGTATATCTATGTTACTATAGTAAAAATGGATTTAACAGTGTAGGTAATACATAACCTAACTTTTACTTATTCTACGATAGCTGCTCATAGGTGGACAAACCTCACAAAATTTTCAACTACTAATTGTTTATAAATAAGCTTTCGAAGGGCGCTAATTTCATTTTGTTAACACCTGGGCCCAAGAATGTATAAAAACATCCCCATCTGCTTACTCGTGTTAAATAAATCGATATCTATTCAGATAAAGTTAAAGGAATCAAACGTCAAAAAACCCTCTAAAGGAATTTTAATATTGTCAGTTTAATATATAATTTTGTCAGTGAAAGTGCTGAAATAAATTTCAGATTACGAGGTCTTTTTTCTATAAAAATTAGGAATAAAATGTCTTAAGCTTGTAACCAAGGCGATTAAATGGATAAAAGAAAACGTTCTTTTCTTATTATTATAATATAAAAGAAAAAATCTATAAAATACGATTTGTTGAAAATCAATTGATGTCCGTTCGTTGTTATGTATATATTGCACATTAACGTTGTAAAATAGATACATAATTCAGTGTTGTTATTTCATTCTTCGTTACAGCCAATCAAATGTCTTAGACATCTATATGCCATAGACTTTCCCATAGAATGCCTCACGTTTAACAAGGCGGGTTGGCAACCGCAGCTTTTTATTATTTTAAGTTCTTTTTTAGGAAGATACTGTTGCCCATCTCCTGTTTCATTTATATTTCAACACGTAGTGGGTACTCTTACATCACCAGTACGTAGCGGATGTGACTGTAATACTTAACAATACGACCGCCATTAGTTAGGATAAATGCAGATAAGTAAATTTCTTTCATTGATTATATTTTATGATATTTTTCAGGCTCGCTGAATTAAAAAAAACCTATGATGCTTCAGTGATTTATCCTGCTCAATGTTTTCTCATAAAAACTGATATATTCGGAAAATTACTGGAATGCTTTTGCTCTATACTCAATAATCTTAATAGAATTTTTAAAAATTACACACAAGTAGCTAATCAATAACATTAGGCTCAAAGTTATTGACGAGCATCTTTATTCTTTACCACACAAGTGTCCTACTCGCGTGACCACTTGGCCCACCCTGTGTTCTCTCAAGGAGGGGCCACCAGTTGATGTCGGCGCTTACAAAATGTTCACCTAAATATTCTCAGTGCCCTGTTGAGAATATTCATATATATATATATATATATATATATATATATATATATATATATATATATATATATATATATATACTATATTAAAACTAGATCTCCTGGATAGACTGAACTGATAAATACATATTTATAAAAAAATCATCATCATCATTGCCCTTCTAAAATTCACTGTTGAACATACGCTTCTCCTTAATAATGCCACAGAACCCGCAGCCACAGATAAGTTTACTGATACGTTGGACTATGTGGATTAATGTGGTTCTACTGCACATATACTAATTTTGAACTCTACGAGTATATTGCAGAGAAAGGCCAAGTCTAACTCTCTCCATCATGTTCCAATACAAAGCATCAATAACTTTCAGCTCTAATATAAAGTCATTTCTTTACTTGCTTATTTCCTTTTTAATTTACTTACTTGTTATCTTGCTTATACTTACTTGATTATTATTGACTTGCATATTTACTTGACATGTTTACTATATATTCTGGATTATTTTTTATTGTCTGGAGGGTGTAACAGGTGACTCGAATAGAAGCCACTATATTTCTTACAATTTTTTTACTTTTACATTAACATATTATTAAATTGAACTATCCATAAATACCACGAATTTGAAATAAACTTTCGGTAATAAAAAAATAAAAACAATAACTTTGAACTGAATAAATAAATCAATTAAAAACTATCGAAATTAAAATAATAAGCACCCAAGTAATAGTATTTACTGATAGATCAATTTCATATAATGATACTGTAAAAAAATTTAAATATCAGTGCCATAGGCTTCCATTCCATTCACCTGTTACACACTTTTTTCCAGTCGGTAAATGTATATAAACTTTCTCCCACACGGCCATCCTGATCATCCATCTGACTCAGATGAATATTCATCTACTTCTTCATCGACCCATGGCTTCATGAGATCAGCCGAGGTTGTTGTGTTGAGGGGCCCTTCGCAGTCACCAACTTTTCTTACAGCGTACCTTTCATGATGCTTTTTGGCTGTCACTGCGTAAGGTAAATTTACTTCCTTGAGTAAATTGTGTTCGGTTAATAGCAACCGTGTCTCCAACTTTGTATTCGGTAGCCTTTTTTCTTTTTCTATTATAATTTTTAACGTTCTCTTCTTGGATCTTTTGTATTGACTCTTTTGCCTTTAATCTTAGTTCATTCCTTTGCTCATTATAGTTCTTAACTTCTTCTTCTTCTTCTATTAATTTCATAATTTCTTCATTGTCATCTTTCATTTTGGTTCCAAAAAGTAACTCGAATGGAGTCATTCCAATACTTCTTTGCCATGTACTATTCAGACAGCGTTGCACTTTGGAAACTTGTTTATACCACTTCGTCGGATTATCAGCGCTCAATTTACTTATAACACTTATAATGATATGGTGGATTCTTTCTACTTGCCCGTTTCCGCGGGGTTGTCCTGTAGTAATTGTATAATTAGTTATGCCTTCTTGTTCACAATAGTCTTGAAATTCTTTTGAAGTAAATGCGGCGTTACGATCGGAAATAATCCTTTGAGGGGAACCAAAGGTTTGTTGTTGCACTCTTAGTTTGTCCAACGTTTCATCTGTAGACAAAGATTTCGTAGGATAGGTCCAAGTAAATTTGGTAAAGCCATCAACTACCGTAAAAATGTACTTATAATTTTTATTAGTAGACGTCAATGGACCAAGATGATCAATATGATACGTCGATAACGGGACATTACCTTTGTCTAACGGATGTAAGAATCCTTCTTTCTTTCCTTTTTTCTGTTCAATCAGAATACATTCTACAAAATTATCTATAACTTTTCTAATCTTCTCCTTCAGATTCTCAATATAATACTCTCGACTCAGAAGCTCTTCTGTTTTTCTAACACCAAAATGTACATAATCATGCTTCTTCCTTATTACTTCGTTCTGCATTTTCTTTGGAACTACAGTAAGTCTCGTACCAACTTTCTCTTTGCATAATATTCCTCTTTCCATAATATAGTCTTGATAGGGTTCTTTTTCTAATTCTTCTACATTTTCTTTAACAGACTGATATGAGGGTCGTCGTCTTGAGCTCTCTTCAAGCGGGCAGCAGCTTCGGTAAATATCAAGCAGACAGGATTTTGGCTTATGCGGCAGCATGTTTAAGCCTTGATCCTGACCTGTGTTCAATCTCATAATCAATCTTCAAATCTAATTCAATCCCATCGAGCAACACGTGGATGTAAGTCTTTCTTCTGTAATGTTTTAGTAAGAGCAGAGCAATCTGTTATGATTTTAAAACGAATTCCTAGTAGATAGACACGGAATTTCTTGACAGCTTCAACAATCGCTAGTATTAGCAAGTAATAGCTGTGATACTTTCTTTCAGTGGGTGTCGTTTTTTTGCTCATGTAGTAGACTGGATACATTTGATTATCTGTAGGACTTTTCTGTAACAGAACGGCGCCATAGCCTTTTGAGCTAGCATCTGTGTGTAGTTCTGTTGCTAGCTCTGGATCGTAAATCCGTAACACAGGTGAACTACACAATATTCTTTTCAATTCATTGAAAGCCATTTGGCACTCTTCACCAAAATTGAATTCTACGTCTTTCTTCAATAAATTGGTAAGTGGTTTTGCAATTATAGAATAATTTTTGATGAACTTTCTAAAATAACCAGACAGTCCTAAAAAAGACTGTAAAGACTTGATGTTATGAGGGGTTTTAAATCTTGATACGGCTGAAATCTTTTCTTTTGACGGGCGTAATTCATTATTCCGTATTATATAGCCTAAATATTCTATCTCTCTCTTCATGAAGTCGCATTTCTTCCAGTTAAATAAAAGACCATACTCTTCAGCTTTTTGGAACACTTTTACCAGCTTCTCGAATCCTTCTTCTTCTGACTCAGAGGATAAAATCAAATCATCCAAGTAGGCAAGGACAATACCGTCAGAAATGAGATCTTCTATAAGAGGAAACGGGAATCGGTCTTTCACTATTCTTTTATTCAACTTTCTATAATATATACAAAGTTTGTATGTTCCATCTTTCTTTTTAGCTAGAACTACAGGGCTTGCAAAATCTGATTTGCTGGGTCGTATAATCTTTTGGTCTAGCCATTCTTTTATTTGTTCATCAACAACTTTCATTTCCAGTGGTGACAATCGACGTGGACTTTGATGGATCGGGTCTTCTTCGGTAAGTATTATTTTCATCTCAACGTTACTTTCCTTCTTTTTAGCATCAGTTTTATATTCTTCAATTAGTTTTGTAATCTTATCTACAATTTCTTTATTTTCAGGGTAATGTTCATCACAAATAGTGTTCTGCTGTTCTGCCAGTAGTGTAAGGTAAGAAATCTTTTCAAGGAAAATACCATCACGAGTAAAGTTGATTTCAAAATCTTTGAGGATAGGATTTCCAAGTATGACACTGGCTGGTATAGCATAATCTTGTACTACGTGAAATTCCAAATCAGCATAATAATCATCGATCAAAACCTTAACTTTCAGAAGTCCTTCAGTATTTAGTTCTTTTCTAGCAAATCCAGTTAGGTGTATTGATTTTTCTTTGTCACATAGATAACTTTTTCTGTCATAACTTTTTCAACTTCTGATAACTTTATCAAATTCACGTCACTCCCAGTGTCAATTAATGCTGTAATTTCGACATCATTTGTCTTTATCTTCTTATATGGAGTTTCTAATTCTTTGTCTTCTTTATCAGTCTTAGTTTTTGTTTCAGTCTTTTGAATATTTAAAGTCTTTTTACCTTTTTACTACACTGAGTTCCCTTATGCCCAAATTCATTGCATTGGAAGCACTTAATACCCTTCTTGCAGGTCGGGGCTTGATGATCTAGGTCTCTGCAATTAAAACATCGCTTTATTTTATTATTCTTTGTAAATGGAGTAGATACACTGGGTCGAGTCTGGGTCTTTTCTTTAATACTTTTGTAAATATCTAATTTCTTTCTAAATTCTTTAAGGTTTGACGCTCCGTACAAAATAGATTTATTAGATTCGCTGTCTTGGATACCATCAATAACGTACTCCATAAGTGCTGCATCTTCGATGTTTCCATGTAGTGCACATTCTTTCATATGGAGAAAATACTGCTGGTAAGTTTCATCTTTCTTCATTTTTCTTGAACTTAGTTTTTTATGAATGGCAGCACTATTCAGTTTAGATCCAAATTCATCTTCGAGTTCTTGTTTTAATTTTTTATAATCTTTTACACCTCCGAGCGATCGTAGAAATAGTTTTGCAGTTCCACTTAGGAGTCTTTTCGCATAAATCAGTTTTTCTACTTCAGTCCAGCTCATCACTTCAAATTCTTCAAACCATGTTGAAATCGAGTAAGAATCATCACCACTAAATGACGTCATCGACTTCTCTACATCTGCAAACGAGATATAGCATGTGGTGTCACGTGATTCTCGTTCTTCTCCATCTTTAATATCTTTTTTCGGCGGCATCTTGAAATGTTATTCTTCAAATATAAAAATCTTCACAAGTCTTCAATAATCGTAAAATCTTCTTTAAATCATTATTTTTGTAACAATAATCTTCAATCGTAAAATACGTAAATCATAAATTCAGTCGTGAAACTAATCTTTATTTTCTTTACATTTCGTAAAAAATAAAAAATATATTGACGTCACGAACAACGTCCCGCAGCATTCTGCTCACGCGTAGTCGGTAACGCGTGCGATGGTAGCAACGTCCCGAAGCATTCGACGCAACTCGTATTCCAAACTTCCCGCGTACCATCTTGGTTCGTGTCGGTAAAACAGTTCACTTCTCACAATGAATCGCCGGTATTTTGCGATGATTTCTTCGTAAATGTTGTTAATTCTTCCGCACTGATACTTCTCTGGATCCCGGACGAGCCCCCAAAATAGTTGTGGGATCGTCGAAGAAAAGAATGGTCGAATTAAACACAAAATCTTTAATAAAACTGCTTAGTCTCTTTACAATGTTTATCTTTGTAACCACAGACTACCACAAAGTGTTGCCATGCCATGACTAAAAACTAATGATTTATAAATTTATTATGTAATTGGTTTCCCAGAAACGGCTCGAAACATCTGTTCTGTTCACGTTCAGTTAAAATTTTGCATTTGCAGTTTTTCTTAACGTCAAGCAAACCTTAATCACGTAGGTACTAATATAAAACCAATTATAGTGAAGGGAAATTGACTCTGTCAGTAGTTTGAGCAGGGATGCTTTTTAAATACTATATTTATCTTATCACGACAGATGTCTGTTTGAAATCTTTGTAAAGACATTTTCTAATTTTCAATTAAGAATTTAAAGCTTCATAAAGTTACAGGATATTAAAATGTCTGCTTTTCTCATAATATTTTTTACGTTATTTTTGTAGCATATTAATTTCGTAAGTATTCTTAGAAAAATAAATTAAAAACGTTAAAATAACATCCGTTCATGAAATTTAATATCAACAACTACCAGAGATTAACGACGAATTGAAAGCTATACTTAGTGGAAATGGCTTCAATTTAAACCATGGCAGAGGTAACTGTTGCGTTCATCGTAAATCTCATCATCATCATCATTTTCATCATCGTTGTCGCATCGTCATCATCATCGTCGTTGTGTCGTTGTGTCTTCGTCATCATCATCATAGTTCTTTACTAGTTCACTCATTAACACAGGTTCTCGTAAACACAGAATATCATCGTGAAACTGTAGCTTAACGCTGCTGTGTTTCGTATGGGGACGGTAGAGAACCAGATACCCATTTTAATGGAAGTAAGGCATTCCATCTTAGTCTTCAGGGGTGACAACGGGTCTGCATTTTGATTTGTAATCGAGAATAGATGATCAAGTGTGGTGTGTGCTCGTTTATCACCCTATCTTATAAAAAAATGTAAATACATGGTCGGGCAAAGGCCATTCTAACCGCGTCATGGAATAAATTACTTAAAACTGATTCCAAATGAATCGTAAAATTGTTTTGCTGCACAATAGAAGCAGGTGTCAAGATAGTCAAAAATTTGGTTAAGTTAAAATATAAATTACGAGATAGAGTATTTGCCTTTCGATCAATTACCACAAAACACGGTTCTGTTCCACCTGCATCCATCGATTTCTTGTATATCTTACCAAGTAGGATTACTTATACGAGGCTGCCACTCGAGAACCTTTATTTCGCAGCGGCTATCGGCCCTTCGAGCTATACGGCCAGCTCATTACCACGCCATCTTACTGATACATTGCGCTACGTCGGTTACTGCTCCCACTGCGTATATTT